AATAAAATAAATAACAGACTGGTTGATGAGAAGTCAACGAAAGAAATAAACAATGATAGAACCATCTTATTATTCTGCAGAGAAACCACACTGTTGTGTTCCTACTTTATTCAAAGAAAGATTTCTATACACATTTCAGAAAACATAATGTGATGAAAATTTAATTTCGGAAGTAAACACGAAAAAAATACGAATGATATACTCAGCAATTAACTTGCATGTAAACACACACACACATACACACAAGGGAGAAAAATACTTATGATACATAGATATAAGTATAAAACTTGGGCACTGTGGTGGTGGTAGAGTATAACTCCATTATGGATAAGATTTTATTTTGATAAATCACACAGTGTTGTTATACAGTAATATTAACTGACGACGTTTCGAGCACAAACTATTGCCAGTCATAATCACATCAAGGCACCTCTCACACAACTTTGTTCTTTCATTTATATACATGTGTGGAATCGATTAGATATTGGAATAAGAATCAATATGGGATAATGTACATTCAGAAATAATAATAGTACGAGTGTTATTGACCATTACAATTATATGGGAAATACGAATGTTTTATACGAGTGTTTTTGTTATAGTCATAATAAGTTACTTGTTAGAATGTTGTGATGTGTTTGAGTTGAAATAGATTACAATTTAAGATTATTTATTATCCTCTTCTGATTTGACTGACTGACTGACTGGTGGTAATAATGTCTTCCATATCTCTGGTATTTGAATTGAGTCACTCCTGTTGCATGGTTCTGAATCATGGTTCATTGAGTCTACACCCAACACAACACATGCAACAGAAATGACTCCATGCAAATACCAGAGATATGGAAGATATTATTACCACCAGTCAGTCAGAAGAGGATAATAAATAATCTACAAATTCTATTTCAATTTAAACACATCACAACATTCTAACATGTGCATTGGTGGCACAGTGGTTAGGACTCTTGCCGACCATGCACATGGTCCAGGGTTCGAGCCCACGCCGACGAACACCTGATATCTATGGTCGGCCTGCGAAATTTGGGCTACCGATATGCACGCTGAAAATTTCATACTTGTACCAAAAATACGGTGTGGAATCAAGCTGTAATCAAAAATAAAATAAAATAAGTTACTTATTTCGACTAAAAAACACTCGTCTTATTTTCCATCTGGTTGTAATTGATCAATAACACTCGTACTATTATTATTTCTGAATGGGCATTATCCCATGTTGATTTTTATTTAAATATCTAGTGAATTCCACACATGTATATAAATGAAGGAAAAAGTTGTGTGAGAGGTGCCTTGATATGATTATAAGGAATAGCTTGTGCTTGAGACGTGGTCATCAGTTAATATTATTGTATAACACTACACTGTGTGATTTATCAAAATAAAATCTTATCCATAATGGACTTATTGTACATCTTAGAAACTGGCTAACTGATTTCAACATAAAACTTTGCGTGGAAGTACCACACTCCATGTTGTATACAAAGAAAGACAAAAGAACAACAACACTAGTAACAACAGGGATTTAAAAAATATCCCAGATCGTAGAGAGTTAATGCGTCTGCATGGTCGGCGAGTATCCTAACCACTGTGCCACCAACGCACAGCCTCATGTACAACCTTCCCTATTTACTGAGCCTACTATCAGTCAGTAAAACAGATGACGCTTAGGAGTGGATCCATCGGGAATTAAACAAGAAAAACCACTTGAAAGGGTTGGTTAGCATTTCTACTTCTTGGACCATTGAACTACAAAACAAATAATAATATCGATTGTATGAAGTCAATTATTTTTGTCTTTTATTTAAAAAAAAACAACTAAATAATTCCCCCCCCCCGTCTATTCCCAACTCTCTCCTTGTATCTCATATCAGGTAGAACCAGAAATCAGTACAAAATAAAATATGCTCGTACAACCAAGTATAGGAACTCAGCGATACCATATTTGGCCAGCCCGTGTTCTAGGTGACAGAGACAGTGTTAAGCGCGAAACCTACGACTTGCTTTGTTGTTAATAACATAATTTTGGCCCTTGTCATTTCCCCTTATACTCTCTTATTTGTACTCTATGGTGAACAACCTTCTTAAAACATACTTAGCTGCTTAAAATTAATTATCGTTGGCTTACTTTTTTGTACTTTACTCTATTCCTTCTTTTGTGTATCTACTGGGTCCGACTATATTATCACTATGAGTATTACAAAATTGTCTTGTCTTTAACATTCATGTAATACTAGTTTTGTGGTTGTTTTTGTTCAGCAATATTAACTGACAATCTTGTTTGTGAACGCCACTATCACCCTCTTAAAATTTTTGTATCATCCGTGATTACTCACACTACCACTACAAACAACCCCATTAGTGCTGACAATAAAAACCCTGAAATGTTTATTTTACGATTGTTTAGTATAGTTCAGTCAAATTAACTGATCATCTTGGCTATAAACACTCTTAAGAACATCTCATAATTTCTTGTATGGTTATAGCTGTTACTGTTTCACCACGCATACACATATCATAGCTTCCACTACCCAGTACTGAAATATTTTTTTCATTATTGGTGTTTATTTTCCCTTGGTATTTTTATTTGCATTTTATGTTATTTTTTGTGTTTTTTTGGTTTTTTGTTGTTGTTTTTTCTATTTATTTATTTTTTGTAATACTCCTTTTAAATGTGCTATGAAATTAGATGCAATATTGTAAATATATGCTGAAAATTCCACACTGTACCACTAGAATCGTTTCTGGAATAAAGCAAATTATTATTATTTTTACGAGTTGATCACCACGGATTGATATCAGTTAGAGAGAGAACCATTGAAAACCAGCCAGCATGGAGTACTGGACAGCCAGCTGTTTCATCCCACTAGTTTGGGAATCATCGGTAGTACGCAACCGCTGCCAGGGCTAGAACCAAGGATCTTCCGGTTACAAGCCAGCAAGCAAGCTCGTATACCATTCAGCCACTGGGACCTGGAGATAGACTTTTTGACCTCGAGTATGCAGACGATATCGTCTTACTGTGCGACAGCATGCAGGCTGCCCAAATCGCACTTAATCAGTAGGCGATCAGTGTCTGTAAGTATGGTATGTGCTTTGCGCCGTCTAAGTGCAAAGTACTGTTACAAGATTGGCAGGAGCCTGTACCTGCACCCACTCTTGCGGGTGAACCACTTGAAGTTGTTGATAAGTTTGTGTACCTGGGTAGTTGTGTGAGTGCTGGCGGAGGGGTGACGGATGAGATTTCCAACCGTATAATGAAGGTTAGGGTGGCATACATCAACTTGAGCCACCTATGGCGCCGTCGCGACGTTAGCCTGGCTGTCAAAGGTCGGGTATACAATGCTTCGGTGCGGGCTGCGCTGCTCTACGCCTGTGAAACCTGGCCTCTCCGAGTGGGCTGAGGATGTGTGGCGACTCTGTGTGTTCGATTACCGCTGTCTCCGCAGGATTGCTTGCGTTCGATGGCATCATCGCGTGAGTAATTCTGAGGTTCGGCGGCGTGTGTTTGAACAAAGTGAAGATCACCATTCATTGAATGTCGTCATCTGGAAACACCGGCTCCGGTGGCTTGGACATGTGCTCCGAATGTCACCCCAGAGGCTTCCGTACAGGTCTCTGTTCGCTAGCCCTGGGACGGGATGGAAAAGGCGGAGAGGTGGTCAGTCCATGACGTGGCGTCGTGGGATGAAGGATTTTTGTGCTAGATTAGCATCGGTTGGTGTGTCACGACTCCCTGGTTGGGGTCCGAGAGATAGCTCAAATCGATGGCTCGAAACGTTATCGGATATGGCCAAGAATCGTAATCAGTGGCGAATGTGTTGCGATTTCCTTCCTTCTTCCCTTCCCGATGATAGCTAACGAACACTGTTTGAACTTGTTAAGCATGACTGTTTTCCTTCCAGATGAAGTTCTTTACCCGTTCTCTACTTATATATATTTTTTCTTTTCTTTCCTTCCTTTTTTTTGATCTATGTTGTTTTATTATTATTGTGTGGAGCATCTTTCTTGGTGCCATATTGTACCAAGTTTTTTATGCGTTTAAATAATAATAATAATAATAACTGGGACCCGATTCAATGGCAGCCAACCCATGACTTCTAACTTCTACCAATTCGTGATGCATTTGGCGCGACTGGCACCAACCAATGTCGTCGGTGGGACATACATCCTCACACTTGACATTTGAATGGACCTCACTAGTCACGACTTCACACTAGAACCTACTCCAGGGAACTCCGTCGTCCTGTAGCAAGTCACTAGCGATCATCAGATTAATTTTCTATAGTTTTGTTTGTAAGGATTATTAGTCGGGGTCGGGCTAAATAACGAATTGGTAGAAGTTAAAATTCATTGGTTGACCACTGAATTGGGTTGCAGTAGCTGAATGGTATACAAGCAGTAGTCAGTTACTAGCGAGGGTCAAATTGATTTTCAAGACCTGTCCAGTACTCCATGCTGCAGCAGGTTTTCAATGATTCTCTAAATTATATCAATCCATGATCAACTTGTAAAAAATAAATCTAATCCTTACAAACCAACTACAGAAAATTAATCTGATGCTCGCTAGTGACTGGTTACACAACGGAGTTTCCTGTCAGGTTCATTCAAATGTCAAGTGTGAGGACAGAGTTCCCGCCGATGACATTGGTTGGTGCTAGTCGCGCTAAATCCCAAATTGGTAGTAGTTAGAATTCATGGGCTGTTCACTGAATTGGGTCCCAGTGGCTGAATGGTACACGAGCTCGCTGGCCTTGTACCTGGAAGGTCCTGGGTTCGAACCCCTGTGTGGTGGGTGCGTACTGTCGATGATTCCCAAACTAGTTGGATGAAACAGCTGGCTGTCCAGTACTTCATGCTGGCTGGTTTTCAATGGTTCTCTCTAACTTGATATCAATCCGCGGTGATCAACTCGTAAAAAAAGAAGAAAAAAAACTAATCCTTACAAACCAATCATAGGAAAAAAAAATTTAATAATTTCTTACCTTAATTAAATTCACTTCAATAAATACAGCCATAACAAACATTGCTATCTGACTAACTTCCAGCAGGGGATCATTTAAACAATTCCATAGAATACATCTTATTTTTTTATTCACATACTTATCAATTGTCATATTTGTTATGCATACATTCTGAGAATTATAAAATGCTGATAAATTAAAAACAACAAGATTTCTAAACAGTAATATTCCAATAGCCCGTGTACGCCATGATGAATGTTCAAGAAAGCATTGAACAAATTGTTCAATTGTCGTCAGAATTTGTTTAACACTTGAATGACCTTGACCAGATAATGTCATTGTAGATAAATAGATTAAATAAGCAGATACACTATAATTTAAACCATCCATATGTTCATCATCAAATTTCACGGCATGATGATTAATTTTTGATATTGACGAATTATCATGAAATATATTCATATTTAATGAAATTGAAAAATAATCGTAGGCATTGCCTATTGAACAGATATCGGCAATAAGTGGCATTAAATACTGACAGATTGATGTACAGGATGCAGTTTGAATTAATTGACTTTCAATATCTTCAGTGGAATCGCTATGATTGTGGTTATTCATCTTGGTGGCGGTGGTGTCACTGGTATCATCGACAGTATCCCATTCGTGGCATGAATCGCTTTAGTTCTGTATACAGAGAAACCAATTGTCAAGAGTAATGGTAAACAGTTATACAAACAGAAAAGACGATTTGATAAGACAATAATCTCTGCTCGACGATAACTTTCATAACTATTCTTCTTGTTGTTGTCATTCTTGTCATTATTCATAAGGCTGTCATTGTCACCAGGAATAAATTCAGCGTTATTCTATGAAAAGATCAAGTAAAAAAAAAAGAAAAGAAAGGTCATTTCAAATTAAAAATCAATAACGAAAATGTTCACACATTTAATCCTTGATAACTTTTTTATTAAACTATAAAACATTGGCTGATTGGTTTCAACATAGAACTTTTCACCAATGTGCAGCAGTTCGAGTCGCCACACTCCACTGAGAACACAAAACAACGCGAAACACAAACAGTAAACTGAGATATGAGGAGAAACGAATAGTAATATGGAAGAACAATATAGCTTTATTCGACATTATAAGTCACAAGGAGTGGATGCATCTCCACCAGCCATTAAAACGATCATTTGAAGCCATATCACCGATTGTCTCCAGCTACTGGTGTTTACTGTCCCGTGGACCCCAACCAGTTAGGAAGTCTACAGCTTCCTACGTGATTGGCTGGCTTAAACTTTCTGCTGTGGATTTCACTGACTGACGAAGTCGTTTCGGTTTGACCGCCGCTAGCTCTTTTCCAGCGTGACCCTATGTCAGTCAGCTAACAATGCCTGTTGTAGAGGAAGGCGATGGCTAGTGATGCATGAGTAACATGTGCCCTACCCATCTTAGTCGATATAGCTTCACAGAGTCGTCGATTGATTTCCCCTCCCACCTATCTACTACTCAACGCCTAACTTCAATATTGCTCACCCTATTATACCATTTCACACGGGAGGTAGTGCGCAGGCACCTATGATCAAAGACAGCTAATCTTTTCAAATCCTCCACTGTCAATGGCCAGGTTTCACAGACATAAAGGAAGAAGTAGCGGACTGCTACTGCTGTGCAGTACACCCGCCCTTTGGTCGATAGCCGGATATCGCGTCTACTTAGTCAGAGATGACATATGCGAAACGAGCCCTTTGTATCTGCGCTGAGATTTCGTCAGTGATCAACCGGGTGGCGATGGCTGACGCAGCTTCCCAAATAAGTGGAGTGGTCAACGTGCTCTACCATTTCACTCCCTATTTCTAAACTAGGAGTCAGTGTAGTCTAGTTCAGTGGTGCAGCATCATCTTACATTTGACGAGAGGGGGTGGATCTCATGCCAAATATTCGCAGATTGCAGCTCAAGGTGTTCAGGAGACTTTGCATTTTGTCAGCGTTATCACCTAAAAGGATGGACTATATCATCTGCATATTCTAAGTCAACGAGACTAGCAATCCCTGGTAACAAGTCAATCCCTGAGTCTCTGAAGTCACTTAGGGTTAATTCCATTAGTACATCTATGATGAAATTGAATATAAACGGGGATAGTGGGCATTCCTGAAGGACACCACTAGTCGTCACCACTTCAGATGACAAATCGCAGTAAGATTTCACCTGGCTGGCTACATGAGTTCGAGTAGAGTGAATGTCTCGATCAGTGAAATGTATTTTGTCGGCAACCCTTTCACAACCAAACATCGCCAGAGTACCTCTCGGCCGCCTTTAGGTAAAAAAAATATAACGATTGTTGGACGCCAATAAAAATCTTTTGAAGGTTGAGGATATGATCAATACACCCTTTTCCTGGTATAAAACCTGTCTGGTTCTCTCGTGTTTGTTCGTCCCGTGGACTGGTTTACAACATCAATTTTTTAAATTCCTTTGCATTCGCCAAGTGGACCTACAAGAGTTGTGAAAGCGGTCAGTAGCAGTGTGGTTCTTTGTTACAGGGTAGGGTTGCTAGAGCACCCGTGACCAACCTGACCTTCTCTCATTTACAGGCTTACTATTGGCTCAAACATTAGGCGAAGTTTACCATAAGAGTGACGCATTCAAAATGTAAGCAGCATTAAAATTTTTAGTCCAAGTTTTCATCATCAATTTAGACGCTTTCGAAGAAGAAAAGACCGTGGAGGCGTAAGACAGAAAACATAAAAGTTAATTAACAGAACAGTGTTAGCTTGTAGCTTGTTCATATAGCAACTCAACAAACAAAAGCGGTTTTAGTTTATCAGATAAAGATTTGTTCAGTGAGTTGAGCTCACTGAATTAGATGACTAATCAAAATCAAAATTCTGTTACCAAGGGAGTGAGAGGTTAATCACACTCTCTTTCTGTATGCATAAGTCTGATTTAAGTCGTTTGATTGCGATTGCTTCGGCAAATCGTAGTAAATTTGCTGTCCTTTGTCTATTTAATATTTTGAAGGACCTAGAAATCTCTACAAGATTTCCAGTATTAACAATGTGTCTGGTAATTGCACTTTGTAAATATCAACTTCCTTTCAGGCACAGGTTTTTGGGAATATGTTCAGAGAACCGGATAGAAGTCCTTCTTTCCGTCCTTCTAATGTACTTGCTCCCGCAAGTGTACGTGAATTCATAAACGCAGTTGGAGGTGACATCACCTGGGTATTTATCCAGTTTTGAGTGGATTATAGAAGGAGTGGTGCTGTATACTGTCATGAGTTTTGCTGCCCGGAAGCTTCTATTTATTGCACCTTTCAATCTTTTGTCAATCTTTTGTGACACTGCATCTCCTTTGAATGGGAGACAAATAAACACTTTTTCTATTCTACAGTTGGATGCTTTTCTTTCTCATCTTTTTCTCTGCTATACTTTTGTATAAATTCCTTAGGGTATCTATTTTCCCTTAGGCATTTCTCGACGAAATCGAATTCTTTTCGACCCTGTTTGGTGAACATAGCTTCCTGGCTCTGTCGTACAAAGTCCCCACTAATCCACTTCGACTCTCCATTATAATATACATACATTCACTTTGTTGTTTTGCCTTGTATTCTGTCTGTTATCACAATCCTTGTTTCCAAGAAAAATCTGAACTCTACCACTTTTGTCTAATTATGACATAAACAGTTACTCTTTTAACACTGCATAATTCGTCTACTTAGATTATCTTTGAAATTGACTGACTGGTTTCAACGCAGAGCTTCGCACCAATGTGCAGCAGTTCGAGTCAACACACTTCACTCAGTACAAAAAGCAAGAGAAGAGAGTAAAAAAAACAATTCAAAAGAGAGATAATAAACAGAGAAATCGGGCAAAAAGAATAGTTATAACGAAGAACAGTATAGTTACATTGGAGATTATAAGTCACAAGCAGTGGATGCATGCATCAGCACCGGCCAGCCACTGAGAACGATCATTTTGAGCCATATCACCACTAGTTGTCTCCAGCCTTCATTGATTTTCACCATCATCCCGAGGATTCCAATCAGTCAGGAAGTCTACACCTTCCTACATGGTTGGCTGGCTTAATCTAACTGTTGTAGATTTCATTGACTGATGAAACCATGTTTTGGTTTAACCGTCATTATCTCTTTTTTAACCTGACCCTATGTCAGCTAACATTGCCTGTTGCCGAGGAAGGCGTTGGCTAGATATACGTAATACATACTATAACCATCTGGACAGGTATAACTTCACAGCCTCGTGTATTGATTTTCCTTCCCACCTATTTAGCACTCGACCGAGGCCTAACCTGAATATTGCTCACCTTATTATGCTACTTCACACGAGAGATAGAACGCAGGCACCTATGATCAAAGGCAACTAGCCACCCTTTTCGTATCTTCCACTCTAAATGGCCAGGTCTCACAGCTAGCCATAAAGGAGGATGGAACGGACTAGTGAGTAGTACACACGTCCTTTGGTCGACAGCCAGCCAGCCAGCCGGATATCACATCTACTAAGTTAGCATATACCAAACGAGCCTTCTGTATATCCGTGCTGAGATTTCGTCAGCGATCAACCTACCGGAGCTGGGTTGATTGATGCAACTTCCCAAATAAGTGAAGTAAATGGTCAACACACTCTTCTCCTGTTTTCACTTCAAATGCTTCGTTAAGCTTTCCACTATGTATCACTTGGCATGTGAAATATACAGAGTAATAAAACTGATTAAACTTACTGATATTTTCTTATAAATCTCTTTTAAAATAGCAGAATTAATCTGTTCCGGTTCAGCTACTGGTAACTTCAAAGTTGCCTTGGATAGCTTTACTCCTTTCAATCGAAGAACACTCCGTGTGTCACGAACAAGTAATGGTATAAACTGAAAAATAAGGAAAATAAATTCAGAGATTTATATATATATACATATATGTGTGGTGAGAGCAGCCTGCTAGTCAATTGGTTGACATTAATCTACGTCAATGTCTAGGTCATTAATATGGGCCGTGAGAATATAGGAACAAGGCTGTTTCAACAACCAATCACAGCAAACTTAAGCGTGGGCAAATATGATTCGCAGATAGATGGCTCCACTTTCCAAGGAACTCGAAAACAACCAATCAGAAGACTGTGTTTGTCTACTTGACTAGGCTATAATAATGTATGTGAAATTTATATAAATATGTGTTGATTTTCGTAATAAAAGGATCTGTTGCCTGGCCCTTGTCTTTTGTTGTTACATATATATATTTGACGATGCGTCAGTGGTATAGCGGTTAGGGCGCTCGCTGACCATGTACATGGTCCGGGGTTCCATCCCCAGCAACAGACGCACCCCTTTACCTCGCTAGACCAGAAAAATGCTGGTAAAGAGAATAGGTTGGGCATGAGGTTAGCAACTCCATCCACCATTGCTACAGAAACTTGAAGCCACTAGCTTGAAGGTGCCTGATGTTCCACTGGGGAATGTGAAGGAAATAAAAAAAATATGACGAGAAGAGGAAGGAAGGAAGGCATACGTAAATAGTGGAATTTTGTGTGATTATGAGGCGAGTGATTTATGCCTAATGTTGCATAAACATAAAGATTTACAGGCGAAGAACAATAACAAGTTGGCGGAAGAAGGAGAAGAAGAAGAAGAAGCGAAGACAGGACTTCAAGTGACACATAGAGACGACCAACAACCAACAACAACAACAACAAAAATCACCATGAACGGCAGGAATTTGAAAAAAGTCACATCCTCCTCTTCTCTTGGTAGGGTATCGTTTCTCATCTACAGACGTCGAGGATGAAAAATGTTGAAGCCAACCTGACCTTTATTGCTATGAAATAAGTATGAAAATATGATGCATATAGAATGCGCGTTATTGAGTGCACTTTCAATAGATCAGTGCAGACTTACATTAGGCAATACACTTTCATTCAATACTAAAGATTAAATGGCCGACTGGAAGAGAAAAAGTAACAAGGAGCTCTGGACACCAGAGAACTAACTAACAAGCTATTGCCAAAAAGATATGCAGAAGGAAATGGAGATAAACACTCTGATAAAGCGTCAGGTGTCAGTCCCGTGAGTGAGATCTGAATAGGAAACAACGAGTTGGGCACGGACCCTAGGGTGACAAGAAGTAGACCACGTGAAGAGGAGGAGGAGGAGGAGGTGATGGAAACTCATGGATAATCGCGAAACAGCTAGAAAAAAAACTACAGAGAAGAGTATGAAGTGGTGATATGCTGCTGAGGTCTTATTTTCGGCTAAGAACCTTTTAAAAACCCATTCGCAACTGATACGCTAGATACGGTTATTCATTCCTTAGCACTTTCCCGGTTAACTGAGCCACGTAAATGTCAAAGGACGAAGACTGGCATGTAACTGGTGGGATAAGACTTTCGTAGGAAAAAAACACACATCATATTTATACATTTCTAATCACACCAAAATTTGCCTATGGCAGTGGAAAATAGACTGCTCTGACCGGTTGGCGATTCGTCCAGGACCAAAGTAATAAAGAGATCAAATTTTGCAGTCATCTTATCACAAGATGATTACTACTTTAGGCTGTTTCATATCAGAACCCAAGGGAATAGTCACAGATGGCAACCTGAAAGTATCAAAAATAGGCCTTCATGTGAACACTGAGAAAACAGAGGTGATGATGAAGATTCCTGGCCAACAGCAACAACAACAGACAGCAATCAGGGTAAATGGGAGAAATCTGAAGGAAGCAACCTCCTTTACCTACCTACCTACCTACCTACCTACCTACCTACGTGGGAAGCATCGTTTCAACTACAGGAGAGCGGATCTGATGAGGATATCAAAGCGAGGATAGTCTATGTGAAGGAGATCAACAGCACTCAGCAAGGAAAATAAGATCCGGATTTGCAACTCCAACGTGAAGTCAGTGCTATTTATTTGCATGGATCAAAGACTTGGCGCTGTGTCATGAAGGGCAATTCGAACAAACTACAGACCTTCGTCAACAAATGTCTTCGCTCAATACTGCTCAAAATCAGACGGCCAGCCAGAAAAGATCAGCAACAGGGATCTCTGGTAATAAGCGAACCAACCCTACAGAAATCAACTGTGCAACAAATATGCAGGAATAGATGGTGGTGGATTGGTGGCCATGCTCTGGCCAAAAAAACCATCAAGTGAGTGGCATCACACGACAGGCCGTTGCTCGAGTGGAACCGGAATGGGAATCGGTCAGTTGGTCGTCAGTGTGTGGGAGTGGAGTGACATAGAGGAGGTGATTTGAAGAGGAGATGATGAAAGCATATGGGCAGACGCGGAGCCAGGCGAAACGTTGGTGGAGAACCAAACGCTATAGAGGTGTGTGGCTGAAGCCCTATGTTCCTCTAGGAACTAAAGGAAACAATAATAATAATAACGATAATAATGATAATAATAATAATTGTAGAAACCATAGCCTGCAGAGATGGAGGTTCTTCGACAGTCTTAGAAATCATAAGTCTAATTTTTAGGTTTACATTTAAAAATCTCTTTCGCATTTTTTACGATAGTTTACGATAGCAAACTCAATACTCTATGGACATCAAAAGCTTTTCTACATACGCATTTGGGAATTTTCATGGACAGTCGTTATTGCTTTTAGAACCCAGTTATCTGAAATACATTTTCAGTGTATTAGGCTATTACTGTTGTTGTTATTATTATTATTTCATATATTGTCATCCCAACTCGAACATACCAATTCAATCCTTAAACTACAAAGTTTCAGTGGCCCAAACTTTCCAGGTTTACTACGTACGGGGCAGAAAACTAGGCAAGGTTTAAGAATGCATTGGTCAAGAATCGAACTCGGACAGTAAACGTGGTTGTCGGGAATTCTGTCATTGAACTATTTACGTACTAGATTATGGGTTTCACTTATTGTGTAAAGACTTATGTTACAACTACACAATTGCTTAGGTTGATATAACTGCGAAGGAATTAAGGTCTGGAATTCACTGGTTGAAAGTCGAAAGCTAACGTTGTAGTGAGAGCTGTCTGCGAACAAGCCGAAATTTTAGACACCAATTTACGTCAATGTTTACGTCCCAAATCGCGGTCATGAGAAAAAAAAACAAGAACAAAGCTTAACCTTGGCGAACTCAACAACCAATCACAGCAGACTTAGCGTGGGTGGATATGATTCGCAGATATATGACTTAACTTTCTAAGGAAACGTTCACAAGCAATACACAATAAACTTCAGCAAGAAAACAACCAATCAGAAGACGCTGTTTTTCTGCTAGAAATAACCAATAATAATGTACATAAAAATCTATAAATGATCTATTGACTGGCCATTGTCTTCTGTGGTTACAACGTCAACGAACCGTAACTGTCATACTGTCAAAGTAACTAAAATGATTCAAGTAATTAGCTTCGTAAACCGAACGGTTGCTATTTAACTTCAAAATGAATAAACAGAAAAAGTTTACATCAGATACGCAGTGTTACATTCTTAAAGTACCGATAGACACCAGTGATTTGCAACCATAGTTTTTAGCACAACTACATAAATATCTTGCATTTGTTACTTTGATTTTTTTTTTGGTAAAACGACCGTCTTACTGCGAAAATCTTTTGATTGAAGCGTTTTACTTTATACAGGTGAAAGCAGTCAAAATGTGTAACGTCAATCAATGCTTGAAAGATTTTAATATCCCAATTTAAAATTCTAAAAGCTGATCACAAGGATTTCAGTTTAGGGGATTTAAGAAGCTTGATTGTGTGAAGGCTGTAACGACAGAAGACAAGGGCCAGGCAACAGTTCGTTTATTGAAAAAAGCAAGAGGTATTTATATGTTTTTATGTACATTATTATTCGTTATTATTAGTAGCAGAGGAGCAACGTCTACTGATTGGTTGTTTTCTCGCTGAAGGTTGTTCTGTACTGTGTTGTGACTCACTGAACAAATCTCAATCTTGTCAACTGTAATCACTTTTGCTTTTCTTTTTTTTTGAGTTGCTATGTGAACCTAAAAGCTAACTATATCACCAATTGTCTCCAGCCTTCATTGACTTGTACCATGCTGGCGACCCGAACCACACAGATAGCCTGTCTACACCTCTCTACGTGGCTGGCTCAAAAATTACATGGACCCATTCTGTGTTTTGATTTCACCATCACTAGATAACCATTTTCCAACCTAATTCAATGTCAATCAATATTGACCGTCGAGAAAGGCGACCAATGGCTAGGGATGCACGAGCAACACACGTCTAAACCATCTCAATCGATGTAGTTGCTTCACAACGTCTTCGATTGATTTTCCCTTCCACTTACGTAGCACTTGATCGATGCCTCATCTCAATGTTACTCACTCCATTAAACCAGATAATGTGGGAGATAGAACACAGATAACTATGATCACAGACAGCTAGCCAAGCTTTCGATGTCTTCCACATTCAGTGGCTATCTCTCACTGACAGCCATAAAGAAGGAAAGAGCAAACTCTTGAACAGTACACAAATGCTTTGATCGACAGCCAGTCTCCCGGATATCATGTCTAGTAAGTCAGAGATGATTCAGGTTGGCAAACGCCACACCGGCCTCTTGTATTCATGCTGAGATCTAATCAGCAATCAACCCACCGGGGCTGACTGATGCAACTTCCTAAATAGGTTAAGCGGTCGACACGATCCATCAACCACTTCACTCCTGCATATCTTTGAACTAGAAGTCAACAAATTCAAGTCCTGTAGCATAATCTCACATTGGACAATAGGAGCGAGTCGCATACCAAACATTCGGAGATCGGCATTCTAAAAGGACTCTGTCTACCTGTTTTCGACAAAGAGCTTTGCACCGATGTGCACCAGTTCAAGTCACCACACTCCCTCTGTGTAGCACACAAACCAAGAGAAGAAAGTAGGAGAAATGCATAATAGAAACAGTAGACAGGGATATGAGACAAAAGGAGTGGTAATAACGAAGAACAAAACAGTTTCATTGGAAATCATAAATCACAAGGAGTGGATGCATCTGCGCTAGCCATTGAGAACGATTCTGAGCCATATCACCGATTGTTTCCAGCCATTGGTTTTTACCATCCCGGGGACCCTGACGAGGAAGTCTACATCTTTCTACGTGGCCAGCTAAAACTAACTATTGTGGATTTCACTGACTGGTGCCATGTTTTGGTTTGACCACAGCTAGTTCTTTTCCAGTCTGACCCTATGTCAACTAATACTGCCTATTGTCGAGGTAGATGGTTGCTAGGCATGCATGTGTAACACATGTCTGAACCATCTCAGTCGATGTAGCTTCAAATCTTTGTCGATCGATTTCCCCTCCTGCCTACCTAGCACTCGACGCCTAGTCTCAATATTGATCACCTTATTATGCCACTTCACACGGGAGATAGAACGCACGCACCCATGGTCAAAGACAGCTAATCTTTTCATGTCTTCCACTCTCAATGGCAATGTCTCACAGCTAGCCATAAAGGAGGACAGAACGGACTGTTGAGCAGTACACCCGCCTTTTGGTCGATAGCCAGTCGGATATCACGTCTACTTGACCAGAGACGGCGTAAACTGGCATATGCGAAACTAGCCAGGTTACCTCAATGACAGCTGCAAAGATTTTAATAGGGTACTTGAGACTGTAACATGGCTGAAAATAGTTTTTACATTCATGTAAACAAAAATAAATAAAACCAGACAGCCAGTCACTAAAATACTCTCACTTACCACTTTAACTAAAAATTCTCCACCAGTAAATTTATCATAATTATCTTTTGCATAATTAAATAAACTTTTATTAAATACTTCATAATTTTGTATAATATTTGTTGACAGTTGTTTTGTTAAGCATACTAGCTGACTTCTCTCTGTTTTATTATTATCACTATTGTTATGACGATGAGGGTTGTATGTAATTATGCTTAAGCGATTCTTTTCTTCATGAAAATGTATATTGAATATACACGAGACATGATAAGAAGCTATAAGACCGGCTAAATCTCTTATCCATAAGGCGTTATTACACGCTTGAGAATACCACCAACAGTTGATAGGGGACTTCTGCTTCTGTGACTGTTGCTGCTGTTGCCTCTGATCTGATGAATATGGCAACAAGGCAGATCCATTCACCGGCGATGATAATGACGAAGAGTTTTGTTGATGTTGTGTTGTTGCTTGTAACAAGGAGATTAACTTTTCATGTAATGGTATACCAATCCAACCCATTAATATTGTAAATACATAGCATAGTCTTTCATAGAATACACGACGATGTTGTAATGGTAAGTATTGATTAAGTAGACAAGATGGGCATGTATCACTGTCGTCGTCATCATCATCGCCAACAATAGATGGCATACTATCATCAGCATCAGATATATCTTTCATATGCTGACAAGATGATGATAACTTCATTTGACTCAATGGATTATTATTGTTGTTCTTCTTGTTGGTGTTGCTATGACTACAGCATTCAAGTAAGCCCTGTATAGCCCAATCCCATAATGGATGTAAACAATGAACATCTTGTTCTGATTCAATAACAGCCTCATGTATAACATGGGCGTACATAAAACTAATACGATGATATGGACCACCAGCTGCCGATTGACTAACACAGTTATTATTATTATTATTATTGTTATTATTATTTACTGATGACGGTTTCTCTGAAAAAGAGGATAAACAAAATTTAATTATTTTTCTGCATGGAAGAACATCTATTCATTGTGGTTAAATAAAAGTGTACTGAAAATTATATTATATTATCAATCAACCAGTTCGATATTTCATGCATTTATTCCCCTTGTTATGGATTTGAATACAGCAATCTTCGTATATTTGGCATGCGATTCACCTGCTCCTGTCAAATGTAAGATGCTGCTACAGGACTGGACCACGTCAACGCCTAGCTTAGTGATAGGGAGTGAAGTGATAGAACATGTTGACCACTTCACCTATTTGGGAAGTTGTATCAGCACCAACGGACTGATTGGCGATGAAATCTCAGCACGGGTCCGAAAAGCTCGAACTGCTTTCGCTGACTTACACCATCTCTGGCGTAGGCGTGACATCCAGTTATCAACCAAGGGACGTGTGTACTGCCCACCAGTTCGCTCCGTCTTTCTCTATGGCTCTGAAACATGGCCAATACGAGTTGAAGACATGAAAAGGTTGACTGCTTTCGATCATAGATGTCTACGATCTCTGTCTCACCTTAGGTGGTTTAATAAGATAAGTAATGTTGACGTTAGGCATAGAGTGTTGGGCAAAGAGGGAAAATCGACGAGGCTATAATGTTACATAGACTAAGATGGCTAGGTCACGTGATGCGCATGCCTAACCACCGCCTCCCCCACTCGACGGGCATTATTAGGTAGCTGATAGACGTGCAGGTTGGAAAAGACCAGTGGTGGCCAAATAAAAACATGGCCTCATCAATCCATGAAATCCTTGACAGTTAAACTGAGTCAGGTAGGGAGATGCAGACTTCCGGGTTGGGGCCCTCGGGACATCTATCAATTGTTGATATAAGTATAAAACTTGGGAACTGTGGTGGTTAAGTATAACTTCATTATGGATAAGATTTCATTTTGATAAATCACACAGTGTTGTTATACAGTAATATTAACTGACGACGTTTCGAGCACAAACTATTGCCAGTCATAATCACATCAAGGCACCTCTCACACAACTTTGTTCTTTCATTTATATACATGTGTGGAATCGATTAGATATTGGATTAAAAATCAATATGGGATAATGTCCATTCAGAAATAATAATAGTACGAATGTTATTGACCCATTACAATTATATGGGAAATACGAATGTTTTATACGAGTGTTTTTGTTATAGTCATAATAAGTTACTTGCTAGAATATTGTGATGTGTTTGAATTGAAATAGATTACAATTTGAGATTATTTATTATCCTCTTCTGATTTGACTGACTGACTGGTGGTGATAATGTCTTCCATATTTCTGGTATTTGCATTGAGGCGCCTACAAACTCACTAAGAGACAAGCTCTGTAGGCTAAAAGACGCGGTGGACCCAATTAGACAAAATAACATAATTTACAAAATACCCTGCAATGATTGTGAGGTCAACTACATAGGTCAAACTAGTAGGTCAGGGATAGTCAGATTGTCGGAGTATAAGAATTTAGCTAAGCGAAGAATGGTTGACCCCGAGGAGATAAGTAATTTAGAAAAAAGCTCAGCAATCGCTCTTCAGGCATTAACAAACAACCGCACAATAAGGTGGGATAGGGTTAAAATTCTAAGAAGTAATCTAGGTAGGTGGACAGAGAGGTTGATTACTGAATCCTTATTTATAGAGTCTACATCCAACATATGTAACAGAAATGACTCAATGCAAATACCAGAAATATGGAAGACATTATTACCACCAGTCAGTCAGTCAAATCAGAAGAGGATAATAAATAATCTTAAATTGTAATCTATTTCAATTCAAACACATCACAACATTCTAGCAAGTAACTTATTATGACTATAACAAAAACACTCGTATAAAACATTCGTATTTCCCATATAATTGTAATGGGTCAATAACATTCGTACTATTATTATTATTTCTGAATGTACATTATCCCATATTGATTCTTATTCCAATATCTAATCGATTCCACACATGTATATAAATGAAAGAACAAAGTTGTGTGAGAGGTGCCTTGATGTGATTATGACTGGCAATAGTTTGTGCTCGAAACGTCGTCAGTTAATATTACTGTATAACAACACTGTGTGATTTATCAAAATGAAATCTTATTCATAATGTCAACTGAAAACATGTAAAATTTGAAAGTATGTTAAAAACGTTTCTGTACTTAAACCTCATAATTTATTTAGGCTGTAAGAAGCAGCTGAGATGATGAGAAGCCAACGGAATAAATGATGGTACCATCTTGTTATTCTGCACAAACCACTGTTGTTCTTGCTTTATTGGAAGAAAATTTCACGAGATAATGGCATCATCATTTCGTAGTTCCTCTACAATCGCTTTACAACTAACATGTTACACAATATTAAAAATAAAATAAAATGCGTCGTTCGCGCAGCGGTTAGGACTCTCACCGACCATGCACATGGTCCAGGGTTCGATTCCCTGCCGACGCACACTTGATATATATGATCGGCCTGCAAAATTTGGGCTACCGATATCACATGCTGAAAATTCCATACTTGTACCAAAAATACGGTGTGGAATCAAGCTGTAATCAAAAATCAAAATTCAAAAAAATTACTCAGTTATTTAATTGAATTTTAGATTTTCCCGTCGATTGATTGGACCGAAGTGCTCCTCATTCTCAGGTTGACATGTCGGCTTCTTGTGCAGATGCTTCGACGACGATGTCTGGGCATACACTTAGAATTTAATTGGTGGATCGTGACTAGCACTGTTGGAATCCGGGAAAACACGTATTTCATCCTATTTTGGACTCGTCAGCTAGCTGGATGTACCTGCATTCCCCAGTGAGTCAGTGATGATGTTCCCACTGAGGCTCGAACCCAGTACGCATAGTTTCAAACGCCAAAGCGTTATCCACTAGACCACTTGGATCACGACAGCCACCTCTTGTGCAACGCTTTGACGTTTGAAACTATGGGCACTGGGTTCGAGCTTCGGTGAGAACATCATCATTGACTCACTGGGGAATGCAGGTACATCCAGCTAGCCGACGAGTCTCAAATAGGATGAAACGCTTGTTGTCCTGTATTCCAACACTGCTAGTCACCATCCACCAATTAAATTACTCAGTTATATATATAAAACCAAAAGTACATACTAATGACCAATCATATTTAAATAGGTTAAATAGTCAGTCCATAGTAGACGAAGGTTGAAGTCTATTGTTTTTTGTAAACACAGTTTAGGCTGTATGTGATTAATTCGCAAAAGTGCTTCCATCACCTTCAATAACCAACCTTGAATTAGAGTTATGTAATGAAATAACTGTGAAACAGTCATAGACCTCTGAAAACTAACACTTGAAAAAAGGGTATGAATACAACAAATTTCATCAAGAGTTAACATCGGTTAGAGAACCATTCGAAAATCTAGGGGTACTGGACAACTACTCCTGTAGCGTTAGTTTGGGACTCTTCATCACTACGCACCCTCCGAGGTTGAAAACCAGAACTTTCCGGTTACAAGCCGACGGGATCCGATCCAATGGCCAGCCCGTGAATGGGGATTCACGCCTTCTATCGCAAATTGACAGGAATTGCAAAATCATGGGCTGGCGCCACTGGATCGTCTTGAAACCGGAACCTCCTAGTTTCGAACCTCAGTAGAGTGAGTGCGTACTGTCGAAGAGTCCAACAACTAGGACAACAGAAATAAATGTCCAGTACTCCCCCTTGTGGCTGGCTTTCCAATAATTCACTAACCAATCTCAGCGCTCATGACGAAATTCTGTAGCTAATAAAATCAAATCAAACCCCTGCAAACTAACACATACGAATACAACAAACAAATCCAGAAATCAAAAAAAAAAAAAATTAATCATCTAACCTGTAGTACTGTGATGTTGATTATTACTGTCCAACACAGGATGATCACCCCCATCACCATCATCATCATCCTCATCTCTGCCGCCAGCAAATTTACCAGCATAAAATGATACAGACCACTGGACATGTGTTAATGTTGGATGTAATTTTTCATCAATTGATTGAGCTAAATCATTTACGGATACTTTTAAAGCGCATATCTCTGACCAGCATAATATACGTGGAATCATCCAACGCCAAAAATAATATTTCCATTCACGTGACCATGTTTCACTGACAATTATCAATACACTTAGAATAGCACGTATCCAATAGAAACCAATGAATTCAGCTTTTCCATCCAGAGGTAAATTTTTTGAATTTGGTAAAGTAACTAACAGCGTTTTTATAAAATACTCTATATGCTTTAACATATTCTCTGGACCATAAGCAAGTAAGCAGGTAAAGATTAAAAAGCGTATTGAATTAGAACAACCTGATTTACCAAGATATGCTCTATGCATATATAATAAATTCTTAGCTAATTTAATCCAAAATTCACGTGTTTCACAATTGTATTGATTAGATAATTTGGAGGCTAATAGACAAGCACATTGTTGTCTTAAGGTATTTTGTGAATCATTTGCAGTGAAATGTGATAACCAAGCTTGTTGACTAATGATATAATCAAAGGTCATATCCTTTTCATTATTGAACACTGGATAGGGTATTACGTAATCAGGATCAGGGATATACACTTCAGGTGGATAGTAACTGTAAAAATCCAAAAAAAAGAAAGAAATGGATAACGGCAAGTTGGGCGTCACTTAGAGGGTGACCTGGGGGAGATTATAGGCAACCTTGGGGGTCAAGCCATAGAGGATAACAGAAAATAGAACAAAGAAGAGACGTGGTATGGAAGCCGTATTTCTCACTCAGAACCCAAGGGACACAATAATAATTTTTAATAATTTTTGAGACGAAGAATATTTCATTGTTATGTTAGAATTCATTAAACAATTATTTTTCAATAGTGTGAAATATTCCCATATCATGAGTGAATTAACAGTTAATCTGAACGAAGAATGCTCTTTTCAATACATCCTTCTCCACTTCAGGTTCTTACAACTATAAAACAATTATAATATTTGTTGTCGTTACAATAATAATGGCCAATTAATTGTGCGGCGGATACATTTTTTTTCAACGTAGAATAACAGATTAGTAGTTATGCGGTGTCAAAATAAATAGTCTTATTTGTGTGACAAAAGTAGTGCTAGGCTGAAATCGATTATAAAATATTTCGGTGAAATGGAAGACATTGGTGGTGATTAGTCATAAAAGATTCGTAGAATGTGGGGTAGGAAAATCGACAAGTTAGTTCAAGGTTATAAAAGGTGTCAAGTGAGTGGAGTGGCTAGTACAAAGTAGTATTTTGTTAAGAGCTGGCTATTAGTCAAAATTGGTGGACAGTAATTTACGTCAATATTTATGTCCCCAATATTCGTCATGAGAAAAATAAGAACAAAGGCTTTGAGTTGGCGGATACAGTTAACACATCGATAATCGACATTCAAGAAACAGCCACAAACAGATGCAAGGTTAGCTTTCTGTGAGAAACAACCAATCAGAGGACTGTGTTTTTCAGCTAACAATAATCTATAATAATGTACATGAAAATCTATAAATATCTGTTTCGCGTGCGTTTCGGATTGTGAGGGCGATTGTTACTTCCCGGCTGCCCACACCGTGGAAGTTGGTTGCGTGACCGCAGAGCCCAGGGGACAACTGCTTGAGGCCGGTCACACGCGGCCTGTTTTTGTTTCTTCTTTATTGTTTGGTGTGTCTCAGTAACATATTTATCACTCCTGCCCTGTGACACGGCAGTAGGAAGCGCAGTCGATGTTAATCCTGGCCACGGCCGATCCGGCATGAAATTTTGTGATTTTGTTTGTATCATAATGGTGGGTTGGGTAGCAGCTTTTTGTTTTAACCGCTATCCAAACAACCTGCCTGGCATGGTAGGACCTCAAGAGACATAAGTCTCAGTCAGTATAGCTTGATTAGGTCATTGCGGTGATCAAGCCCGACCACCACGTCAAGGTAGCCGCTTTCGGTCGGGGCTGAGCTCTGTTTCCCGTGTAAAGTGGCATAATAAGGTGAGCAACATTGAGGTTAGGCGTCGAGTTCTAGGTAAACAGGGGAAATCAATCGACGAAGTCGTGAAGTTACAAAGACTTAGATGGTTAGGACATGTGTTACGTATGCCAAGCCATCGCCTCCCTCGACGAGCAATGTTAGCGGATATAGGATCAGGCTGGAAAAAAGCTAGCGGCGGTCAAACAAAAACTTGGCTTCACCAGTCAATGAAATCTACAACAGTTAGTCTAAGCCAACCACGTAGGAAGGTGTAGACTTCCTGGTCAGGGTCTCCGGGATGGTAAAAACCGATTGTTGTAAACAATTAGTGATATTGTGGTGAGAGCAGGCTGCTAGCCGATTGGTTGACACTAAGCTACGTTAATATGGGACGTGAGAAAATATGAACAAGTCTGAGTCAACAACCAATCACAGCAAAGTTAACGTGGCAAAATATGATTCGCAGATAGAGAACTCTATTTGTCAAGGAATCCCGAAACAACCAATCAGAAGCCTGCGTTTGTCTGCCTAACTTCTGATAAACAACCAATCAGATGACTGCGCTTGTCTATAATAATGTATGTGAAATATGTATAAATACGTGTTGATTTTCATAATAAAACGATCTGTTACCTGGCCCTTGTCTTCTGTTGTTACAATATGACTGGCTCAAAGTGATCGTTCTCAAGGGCTGGTACAGATGCATCCACTCCTTGTGACTTATGATCTCCAATGAAACTGTTTTGTTCTTCGTTATTACTCCTTTGTCTCACACCTCTGCTCACTGTTTCTATTATGCTTTTCTTGTACTTTCTTCTCTTGTTTCGCGTGCTACACGGAATGTGGCGACTTGAACTTCCGCACATTTGTGCAAAGTTCTATATCGAAAACAGACAGACAGACAGATAAATATCTGTTGATTTCCTAAATAAACGATCTGTTGCCTGGTCCTTGTCTTCTGTTGTTACAGTTTGTATTAAAAAAAGAGATAGTAAGACTGCAATGAGAGGTTCATAATGGAATATATTTCGTCAGCTAATTAATGTTGTGAAGTGAAGAAGTTAGAATGCACACATCATCTAATTACTTCACCTTTATATTTAAAATAACAACAATTTTCTTTTAAAAGAAAACAATAGACGGAAGAACAAAGAAGAAGAAGAAGAAAAATATTACACAGAAACAACTAATTAGATATTCATAAAGTTGGCAATCAGCCAAATAGTTATAAGCCTTTTTAATAGTACTTACTCCAATTCATCTCAGCAGATACTATAGAATCCAACGGTTAATTCCATATTGATTCATTTAAGTTAAATTTAATTTGTCTACGAGTTTGACAACGGATTGATACCAGATTAAGAGAACTATTGAAAACCAGCAGGGGGAGTACTGGACAGCTACTGTTTCATCCATGCTAGTTTGGGATTCCTCGGCAGTACGCACCCACCCTACTGGGGTTCGAAACCAGGACCTTCCGGTTACAAAGCCAGCAAGCAAGCTCGTATACCATTCAAAGGCAGCCAGCCCATGAATTCTCATTTCTATCAATTCGTGATTTAGCGCGACTGGCACCAACCATTATCATCGGTGGGATGTCTATCCTCACATGTGATATTTGGATGGACCTCACTGGTCACAACTTCTCACTAGAAGCCACTCCAGGAAACTCCATCCTGTAGCAAGTCACTAGCGAGCATCAGATGGATTTTCAAGAGTTGGTTTGAAAATTTTATTTTTATCATTGATTGGTCATATTCGACAGAATTGTCACAGTGCCTAATACCAGAGTTCCAGCGATGTTTGAGGATTCACACTGACGGTATTTAGTGGATAGAGGATTGTGACTGACTAGCAGAAGAACCCATGTCGACCAGATACATCTAGTCAATGAGTAGTCAACAATGATGCTGAAATGCACATTCTGCTGGATTCCACTGCTAGTCACCACTTATATCGATGTATTTATTGGATACAGATCACACACACACACACACACGCACGCACATACACACACAGTGAATACAGTAGTAATAATAATACTGAACAAAGTTTCCAAACACAGTTTATTTTTCATAACCCATTTTATCGATTGTAACTTCATAGATTCAAAACACGGTTCGAATAATTCTAGATCTCCATCTCCCGTGTTAGGTGGTAGGTGGGATACGGTGAGTAACATTCAGATTAGGCGATGAGTGTTAGGTAAAGAGGTAAAGTCAATTGATTAGGTTGTGAAGTAGCTACATAGACTGAGATGGTTAGGACATTTGTTACGCATGCCATCACCTTTCTCGACAAAATGCAATGTTAGCTGACTGATAAAGGATCAGGTTGAAAAACAGTTAGTGATGATCAGATCAAAACATGACTTCATCAGTCAGTCAAATATACATTTAGTTTAAGCCAGCCAACCACATAGAGAGGTATAGACTGCTCGCCTACCTTTTTCGGGTCCTCAGGGTGGTAAAAACCAGTGGGAAATGGAGACAATGGGTGATATGGCTGGCTCAGATGGACTCATTCTTAGCGATAGTACTATTCCCTTTGCCTCACTCACACTATTGTTTATATTATCACTCTTTTCAATCTCCCTTTTACCTCATTACTCTCTTCCGTGTGCTACAAGGAGGTAGAGTGGCCATTCGAATTGGTGTACAACCATGCAAAGTTCTCTGTTGAAAAAAATCAGTCAAGCAGTCAGTCCAGATATCATGCATGGGTAATAACTTCTGCCATACTGAATGCTCTTTCAGTTGATTCGATAATAAATAAAGCCTCACTTATCCATTTCTTCCTCCCCTATGTTACATTAGATTTTAAGACTGACACCTTGTCCATACTACTACGGGAGAGACAGAGTGATAACTGAAGCTTTATTCGTCGAATCCACTACGAAGTTAAGTGCAATAGGAATGAGTCAACATCTGTCCCTGACGTCTGGAAAATTCTACTACCCCTACGACAAATGGGTGGGAACAAGAAGAATTACAAAAATTAAATTTCGAAAAAGCGTATAGTTACACACCTGAAAAATCTGATTATAAACAATAAATTGTTTACTTTTCAATATATTGGTTATTATGCAAAAAAAAACAACAACAACAAATGAAATACAGACTGGTCAGAGAACACTAGTGAAAAGCAACGGAGACTACGAAGGAACAGCTGTTTCGTCCCAATTTCCAACTCCTCCTCAGTAAACACCTATGATTCTAGCAAGAACTGGACTGAAGACCTTCAAATGATGCGGTGAACATTTGTAGACCAATGAGCTAATGTTACTTTGTGATCTAACTTGAATGCCTAACATTGGTGGCCTGCTCAAATATTGGGTTACTCAAAAAAAAGACCTTCACCCATTCACAGTTTGTTTAAATCGAGTAAAATATGACCTCAAGTAATATTGTTTACTCTGGTGAGTATTTAAAAAAAAAGATTAAAACTTGCTGATTCGAAAGTTTCTACTAAACATGAGTTGAAAAAGCATTATCCTCGATGGTGGCAGCTTATCCAAATATATGAGATGATCGTTCCTATAAGTAGTGTTGTCTGTCCTTGGTTCACAAAATGTACTCCTGAACTTTTTTATCATCGATATTTATTTCTCGAGGGAGAAAAAGAAGAGATATTACATGATCAATTGGTTTGCGTATGTCATACGACCTAATGTTAATTAATTAATCTTTTATTTAAAGATTCTAGTTGAATAAAATCCTGTACATTATATAAACATTGTTCAGAATGAGGGTATTGTTGGTGTTGTTTTTGTTTTAATGAAATGAAGGTATATAGTGATATTTTTGGTATAAATATTTTCTTTTTTTTGGAATGCTTTGGTAACATTCGATTTCTTTCAATATTGTCTGTGCCAGTCACTGTCTGTTTTCAGCATAGAACTTTGCACCGATGTGCACCAGTTCAAGTCACCACACTCCCTCAATGTAGCACACAAACCAAGAGAAGAAAGTAGAAGAAATGCATAATATAGACAGTAAACAGGGATACGAGACAAAAGGAATAGTAATAACGAAGAACAATATAATTTCATTGGAAATTATAAGTCACAAGGGGTGGATGCATCTGCTCCAGCCAGCCATTGAGAACGATCTCTTTGAGCCAGCCATATAGCTGATTGTCTCTAGCCATTGGTGTTTACTGTCCCGAGGACTCCAACCAGGAAGTCTACACCTTCCTACGTGGTTGGCTTAAACTAACTGTTGTGGATTTCATTGACTGATGAAGCCATGTTTTGGTTTGACCACCACTGGCATTCTCTCTTCCAGCCTCACACTACGCCAACTAACACTGCCTGTTGTCAAGGAAGGCGATGGCTAGGGATGCATGCGTAACACATGTCCTAACTATCTCATTTGATGTAGCTTCACAGCCTTGTCGATTGATTTCCCCTACCATCTACCTAGCACTCGACTGATGCCTAACCTCAATATTGCTCATTCTATTATGCCACTTCACTTCAATACTGAGTAAATTTCAATAGATATTATTCATTGCTTAGCACATACTATAGCCTATAACCACAAAACTGTCCTGAATGATGGAAATAATTAGTTACTCACAGTCTGAGTCACTGAAATGTTTAACAAACTGACGTCGTGCCTGATGATCATGGGCGAGCAATCACGAAAACGCCTAAAGTAGGACGAAACAGTCATAAAATATTCCCCAACCTTTGTGTGCCAATGTTTCAAGAGTGGAATGCCTGCCAACCTCAATACTCACATGGTCCGAGTTCGATTACCAGCCGACTCAATCCTAACTAAAGTTCTCTTATCCGCTAATGAAGTTGGCAAAAAAATGTAAGGTTGGTGCGTGAGTGGGTGGCGAAGCGAAGAGTAAGGCATTTAGTCAAACTCTATGAAGAAAGGAACACCACGGCTACTAAAGAAACTTCAAAGCTCATGTTTGAAGCGCTATGTTCCATTCACTGGAAAGGTAGAAACATCACTAGCCCACCCCCCCCCCGCCGTCGCCACAGCTCTCTCCCACAAAGGAGAGAAATAAATTCACCACAAAATAGAAGAAAGAAAATTCATGACACAAAATCAAAGACTTACACAAAACCACAATGTAATGATCCAATATGATGATGTTTTCTATAAGCATCATTCGACTGCAATACTTTAGCATTTTCATTAAACAGAAGAAATTTATTATCAGGACGTGGACCAGCAATAATAGGTAGACTTTCTCCACGATTTTCCTCTCCACCTGATTTTTCTTTACATATTTCCACTGGATAAATACACTTCATTAATGATTTACGATAATATCCGACCAAGGTGAAATTCAACTCTGCAATACACCGACATGCACTAAATGCTACTTCAGTTTGCTGACATTTCATTAATTCGAATAGAGTATGAATACATTTTAAAGATGGCGGAGATATCACCGGTGCAGTAAGACAATCAATGCTTGATTTCCATGGTGGTGATAAGGGTGTATTAAGCGGGAAATGTAAAATTTGCAATAGGGTGGTTATAAACATCCAACTACTACTACTAGCAGAATTCATATCATCATCAGTAGTATTAGTAGTAGTAGTATCGTGTGAATCTTTACAAAAATTTGAACATATTTTAACAATATATTCAGAAATTTTTTGTGTATATAACGTGACAGCTTGAATACGTTTTTCAATAACTTTATTGATGAGTTGATTTGGCGTGTTCAATGTTTCAATGGTGGTAGCGTTACATGTTGAATAATTACTACTATTATTATTATTATATTGAAATACATGATTTAAACAATAATCAATTTCAATAAAAATTTTAGATAACCAACTATTTGGTGGAAGTTTATCCTTTGTTGGGAAATGTAGCATTACATCAATTGGAAAGTGTTTAAATGAACGTAATATTTGATTGATTAAATGTTCCAATTGATCATGATTTGTTTGAAGTTGTTTTAATTGACGTTTTTGTTGTTGTTGTCGTTGTTGTTGGTTATGGCGGTCTTTTGATTTTTGTCTAATATTCTCCTCACGATAAGGTGAATTGTCATCAATCTGATCGTCATCATCGTCGAGTTCATGATGAATAGCATTCACAACCGGGTGGAAATCATTAAACCACATAGAATTTTCTTTTTCATAATTCATTAATTGTTGAATAAGGCAAAGACAGAATTCAACAAATAAATAAGGATCTAAACGAAAGAATTCATCATATTCACGATCTGTATGCTGACGACAATAGACACGTTTACAGAGCATAATAGTAGACATACGTCGAAAGTGTATTAACTTTTGTTTTGTTTCAAGGGAAGAAGCGAGTAACGATGAAATATGTTGTGCATGTGCAGACATATTTGTATTTATATTCAAGGTGGATAAAGATGAAGACGATGAAGAACATGATGCTGAAGAGATTAACGATGCACTAGACGAAGATATTGAGGCATTGATATCAGGGATTATATTGTCTAAACGCTGGATCATTGATTTCAATAGTTGACTACCGATCTAAATGAAAGAGAGGGAGAGAGAGAGAGAGAGAAATTTAAACGTCAAGTAGCAAAGCAGATTAATGTCATATATTATAGAATACATGGAGGATTTCACCATGAGCTGACATCAGTTAGTGAACTACTGGAAAACCTGCGAGTACTGGACAGCTGTTTCGTCAGACTAGTTTGGGACTCTTCATCAGTATGCACCCAACAGGTGTGAATGCATAAAATAATAATAATGATAGTAGTATGAAATGCAATTAAAAACTAAATTGTTTGTGATTATAATCATAGTTAAATGTCAAGTGGCAAAGCAAATTAATGTCATATAGAGAATAATTCATAGAATGGATAGAACTTGAAAAAGGGGTGTGCAATTATAAGATTAGTAGACAAATCGAATAAAACAAAGAACGTTACGTAAAATTGTGTAAAATTTAATAGCATAGAATTTAACGTTGTAGAATGACAAGTGGAACAGGTGAAATAATACCGGGGATAGTTCAAAGTGAGAGTAGTAATAGTAATAATTGACTTAATAAGGAAGAGTATACAAATTGAATAGACAAAATGAAAAATATGAAAAATTGGTGGAGCTAAAGTATGATTGGGGATTACCATACTTTAGCATAGAGGGATTAACACCATGAAAGTTGGAGGGGTTGAGGTTGAACAAACTTTTTATGTACACAGAGATCTGGCTTTTCTGTTTCTATTGCCAAAGCTTCAGCAATACAACAGATGAGTCGGGTACGTAGGGATTTGGGTAAATTACTCTTTGCCTTGTAGATGACTTTATGGGCTGAGGCTATAGAGATCATTAGATGATCATTATCGACCAGATATGTTCAATGATCGCGCTTCTTATTGCTCCACTTCCACCTTTTCGTAACAACCATGCAGGATAGTGTTCTTGCACCCTCTTGGACAAAACTCGAGTCGAACGACCGATATAACTAGATCAACACGAGCAGGTGAATTGATAAACAACAGCGGGATTTTGTCCTTCAGGTTATTGAACAATAATGGTTGGCTAGTAAAGGCTATTCCCAGAGATGCAGCAGGGAATGTTCTTTTCAGGAACTGTGTTATCCTTCGTTTCATGATATCGGAACCTAAGTCCCATTTGAATTCAAAGCTTCATGTAAAGTATTTTCTTGGGTACGATTGATAAGTCACGTTTTATAGGATTTGAATGTATATTCTTATCTATAAAACGTGGTGGAAATCCATTTTCTATTAGGATTTTCATCAAAATGTATAACTCATCTTCCACACTAGCAGGGCTAAATATGCGTCGAATACGATTGGCAAGCGACCGGACCAGGTTTCGTTTCCGGCCAATGGGTACCCACCCATCCAGCTGTAGAAATTTATCAGTTGACCATTCCATGCCAGCTTTAATTTAAACACAGTAAAAGAAGCTGCATGTGTGTGTGCGTGTTATTCAAAACTGCATGTTTTTTATTATTTTTATTTTACTTCTTCACTTTCCCAGTGGAACATAGGGCACCTTCAAGTTAGAGCGTTTTTGAATTTTCGATAGCAGTAGTGTTTAGTTTTTTTTACGGAATGGGGTTGTTAGCCTTGAATGGCTCAACCTTCCCTCTTTACCAAACTTATTATTGACTTAGCGAGGTAAAGGAGTGCGCCGATGGCCAGGGATCGAGCCCAGATAATTAAAATTATGTACTAAGTGGGGGCGGGGGGGGGGGAGCTAGAGTTGAAGTGGAATAATTACAAAAACTTTTAAAGATTATTAAATAAGTGAACTAGTATAAAGATTTCATAATTGTAGGTCAGGTGTTGTTTAAAAAATTAATAATAAAACGGTGAAGGTGAACTGAATTGGAATGACGAATTCAAGTGGTAAAATAGAATAAAATCAAAAATAAAAGAACATTACTATGATATCAAGGTAAAGAAAGGCGTTTGACAAAAAATGTTTGGAAAACCTTTAGGTTTTTGTCCATGTATAGCTAGAGCTTCGGTCCATTATGCATAAGTGGAGAAAACTTAAGCTTTTAAAGAGATTAGATTTGTTCCTGTAGATAACTTTGAAGGATAAATTACGTGTGTGTGTGTGTGGGGGGGGGTTGAATGACCTGATTCCAGGAAGTGTTCACAAATCAAAGACTGCATCGTTCTATCCTCACCTTTCATTAACCAAACGATTTTCTGAACATGTACCAAAAAGCTTTTGTCTAAACAGAATAAATGCTTTAAACAATGCCAACGCCAGACATCTTCTTGACACGGGTCATGAGGTGGGCATCGCAAGATCTTTCAAAATTATCAGTAGGCAAAAGAGCTCAATTCTCCTTAAGTTTGCTGAAGCCATTTCGAACAAGCGTCTGGAACCTGATTTGTGCGTTCAGAAAGAAACAGTTATCAGTCTTTCTTTGCCAACCTGGTAACTAGATATTTTCACCTCTCTTTCACCTGATTACGTAATATCGCAACTTTCCATTGTGTATGGTCATCATTGTTTGGGATAAAGTGTTTATTATTACAACATATATTATTACTGTATGCATATATTTATTGATTGATTTTTGTTAAAAAATGAACTCTCAGTGCAAATATGTTAAAATTGTTTCTGTAGATATACTTAGTAATGACTTTCGGCTGTAAGCAGCTGATGAGACGGAAACAAAATAAGCAATGATGGTACCACTTTATTCTGCAAAAATCACTGTAGTTCTCGCTTTATTCAAACCACGTAGTGTTCACAGCTACGTGTGTTTACGGAGAACATGCTTACAACGTCCAGGGTAATCAGGAGCTCCATACGAGCATGTGAATGAGTATATGCACAAAGCCGTGAACATATGCGGTAGTCTATCTCTAAAGCATTGTCGAATCATGTTTTAACTGGTAAAAAATCTGTTTATCCTTATGAGTTAATCGGTAAATTTCGCGATTTAAAGGCATAACTATTAAAGATAAAGATACCTAACTAACAACCCCAAACAACAAGCACCAATCACCACCATCGACTTATCAAACATCTAAGGTATTACTTCAAAATAAATGTTAAATCACGGAATACACACACTTTGGATCATAGAAATTATTTAAAAGACGGTTTTAGCCAAGAAAATCTCCTTTTCGACGAAGTCAGCGTCAACTAGATTACATAGCTGTACATTTGTGTATTTATGATAAATTGGTGGGTCAAACCCTTTTCCCTGCCATGGCCATCATAAACAGGTAGTTCTTTTAATAGTAACTATCGCACATTGACGCTCTTATCCAAAATTCCTGTTTATTCATGTTATTTTTAAGTTTTTCTTAATCCCTCCACTATTTACACTACCATATTTTCATATCCAAACTTCCTGACTATCTTTTGTCATTTTATTATTTCTACATATATAATCCCCAACTGCATAAACAATTATTCGTCACATTAGTTATGATCCCAGTGGATTTTTTATCCAAACATCCTATCCATTTTTGTTATTTCTACATTTCTAACTCCTAATTGCAAAATCAATGTCAATCTTCTCAGTAATTATGATGCTATTTAATTGGTGGATGGTGGCTAGCAGTGGAATCCAGGATGCGCATTTCGCCCTATTTGGGACTCGTCATCTGGACATATCTGCATTTCTCAGTGAGTGATGATGTTCCCACCGAGGCTCGAACCCAGTGCCCATAGTTTCAAACGCCAAGGCGTTATCCACTATAGGCACTGGGTTCGAGCCTCGGTGGGAACATCATCACTCACTGAGAAATGCAGATATGTCCAGATGACGAGTCCCAAATAGGGCGAAATGCGCATCCTGGATTCCACTGCTAGCCACCATCCACCAATTGTATACTAATTAAATACCCAGACATCGTCGAAGCATCTGCACAAGAAGCCGACGTGTCAACCTGAGAACGAGGAGCACTTCGGTCCAATCAATCTACGGGAAAATCTCAAATTCAATTAAAATTATGATGCTACTTTGAGTTTTATCCGTCTGTCCAACCCTCCTCCGCATGTTTATTATGGCATTATAATTCCTAATTGTAATTTTATTCACTTTGACCCTTGACCGGAAATTATTCTGGAACATTCCCACCAATTTATTATATGAAATACACGAATGTGTACAGCTGTCTAATCTAGTTGACGATGACTTCGTCAAAAAGACAAAAAAAAAATTTTCTTCGCTGCAACCGTCTTTTAAATGTGTTAAATCATAACAAACAAAACAAAACAAAACAAAGCAAAGAAGTAGATAGCACTTACAGATGGACATTTTCTAATTAAATATGCATTTAATAAAGATGTAGCAAGTAGTCTAATATCTGATCGACGTGGTGATATTGCTAGACGTGTTAATATTTCAGCAAATTGTCTCATCATAGGGGATGGTAGCAGAATATTAGAACAAGCAATTGACCGGCATATAAACTGATTATCATCAACACTTTTAGCATTCAACATTAATTGTTTATGTAAATGATGGATTAAAAATATTCGAAAATGTTCATGGATACGTGCTGCATAAGTGATTAATGAAGAACCAGAAAATGTTTTTATTTCTTCCCCAGATTCATGTTTCTCTGCAACTGTGGTACAATAAACACCATTTAAACTGTTAATACTTGGGATTAATTTATCTATAATATTAGTGCTGTTGTTGCAGGCGTTGCTGCCGCAGCTGCCAGTTTCACGTGATGCTTGTTGACTTAATGGATGTAAACAGTTACGTGCTCCTAAATCAGGCGACAGCAAACCACGTGGACCACGTACAATTTGTAATAAATGTGGTCTAATTTCATCCATGGGAATATTTATTGCAGCACGATGAGTTATCTCTAATAGATTAACAATTTGTACTGGATGAATTAATAACCAAATTGATTTTGGACCAGTATCAGAATCTGTGAATAATGATGCAATATTAAATGAAGAAAGTGTTAAGGCGGTAATACAATTATCGAATTACTTATTTCAAAATTATTCAAATTAAATCATGACTGAAAAGGTTATGAAAATCCCGATAAGGGTCAGTTGGTAATAATATCAGTTGAGTACCGAAAATTATTGGCAGCCGGGAAGGCAGAAGTACTATGGCGATGCTTGGCTGTAAAAGGAATGCCGAGAATATACATTACACTGATCAAGGCACGCCCTCTACTCAAACTCATGCAGCCAGCCAGATGAGAGCTTATGGTGAGTTATCATCTGAACTGGTGACAACTAGTGGTGTTCGTCAGGGATACGTATTATCCCCATTTATATTCAATTTCATCATAGATGTACTAATGAACTTGACTATAACTCACTTCAGAGACTCAGGGATTGACTTGTTACCAGGGAATACTAGTCTCATTGACTTAGAATATGCAGATGATATAATCCTTGTAGGCGAAGACGCTGACAAAAATGAGCAGAGTCTTCTGAAAAACTTGAACTGCAATCTATGAATGTTTGGTATGCAATTTGCTCCCGCCAAATGTGAGATTATGTTACAGGACTGGACTACACTGACTCTTAGTTTAGAAATGGGAAGTGAAGTGGTAGAGCACGTTGACCACTTCACTCATTTGAGAAGTTTCATCAGCCATCGCCAGCCAGTTGATCGCTCACGAAACCTCAGGGCGGATACAGAAGACTCCTTTAGCATTTGCCAGTTTACGCCGTCTCTAGCCAGACGAGATATTCGACTATCGACCGAAGGACGGGTGTACTGCTCACCAGTTCACTCCGTCCTCCTTTATGGCTGTGAGACATGGCCATTGAGAGTGGAAGTCATGAAAAACCCGGCTAGTTGGCTTTGATCATAGGTGCCTGTGTTCTATCTCCCGCATCAGGTGGTGTAACAGGATGAGTAACCTTGGAGTTAGGCGTCGAGTGTTAGATAAGGAGGGAAAATCAATCGACAAAGATTTGAAGCTACATCGACTGATATGGTAAGGACATGTCTTACGTGTGCACCCCTAGCAATCACCTTCCTGGACAACTGGTAATGTCAGTTGACATAGGGTCAGACTGGAAAAGAGCTAGCGGCGGTCAAATCAAAACATGGCTTCACCAGTCAATGAAATCCACAACAGTTAACTTAAGATGGCCACGTAGGAAGCTGTAGACTTACTGGTTGGGGTCCTCGGGACGGTAAACACCAATGAAGGCTGGGGACAATTGGTGATATGGCTCAAAGTGATCGTTCTCAACGGCTGACGCTGATGCATCCACTCCTTGTGACTTATAATTTCCAATGAAACTGTTTTGTTCTTCGTTATTACTATTCCTTTTGTCTCATATCCCTGTCTACTGTCTATATTATGCATTTCTTCTACTTTCTTCTCTTGGTTTGTGTGCTACATTGAGGGAGTGTGGTGACTTGAACTGCTGTACATCAGTGCAAAGTTCTGTGTTGAAAACAGACTAACAGGCAGACTGGCATTCGAAAAGGCAGAAGGATCAGACGGAATTCTCCCGCCCCCAAAATAATGAAAACACAATCAGAGAAGATAGTGGATGTTTGCATGCCAACATCGCAAACAGTTTAGGAAGGATTGAAAGACATCCTACTGATTGGAAGAAAGGCTGACTACCTTGTCAAGCTGCCAAAGAAGGCCGACTGACGTCTCTCTGTGCATGAACTGGCACAGAATCATGCTCTCGTCCAAACCAAGTCAAATATTAAGTCACGTCATCCTGGAGAGAATAAACAATGCACTGGGTGCAGGACTCCTCCCACTAGAACAGGGTAGATTCAGAAAAGGCAAATCGTGTAGTGATCAAACTGCAACTCTAAGAAACATAATCGCACAAACCATAGACTGCTAGTAAGACCCCTACTTCTACTTCATCGAATCTAAAAAGGCCCTCAACAGACAGCGTTGACCTCGAAATAATTTGGAAACTACTTCAATACTGTGGCGTGAAGTACCTCAAACCTTTATCAGCCTAATTCAACAGCTACATCACAACGGAAAACTCCATAAGGCGTTCAAAGTGCATATAGGAGTAAGACAAGCTGACTGATTGCCTGCCTATTATCACAACGGATTATATTCTTAATTGGGGTGGACTGGATTATGTGTGAACATGTGCTTAGGGAGTGAGTTTTATAGTTTTCTTTGTCTTCTCCCACTTGTCGTATGGCTAGTAGAATTTTCCAGATATCTCGGTGGACAGGTGTTGAATGTTTGCAGTTGATCCGATAAACAAAACTTCCGTTATCAATCTCTCCCTCTACCCTGATGTTATATTAGATTTTAAAACGGTCATCTCATCCCATCCTATTGTATGGTTGGTTTGTGTGTAATTGCATGTAGTGCTATAGTTAGCTGAACTATTCTCTAGAATTCTTATGTCATTCGGATCAATTAATCTAGATTTGTGCTCCGCTAGTCTGAGTGCACCTGTTCTACTACTTTGGCCTATGTATTTGACCTGACAATCATCTCAGGCAGGGTATTAGATAAACTAAATTGTTTTGTTCAATTGCCTCCACTGGCAGGATCCTTTAACCGACAAAGCTTGTTTCTAATTGAGTTTGTGGGCAGTTTGATTGCCAGTCACTTTTATTCCTGCCCGCCTTGTTAAGAATTCTGATTAAGAAACGGGAAATGTGTTGCTGAAGTCCTATGTTCCAAAAAGGGAGTAATAATAGGTCGGTGGGTTGTTACGATCTTCAAGTCGAATCCTCAAATCAAAGTAGCGACTATGAGTGTCAATATAACTACAGTAAAAAATTTATCATCAATTCGAGGAGAACAGAGTGCACACATCACACACACAGAAGTAAAAAAAAAATATTAAAAACAGTTTTCTGTTGCCAATCCTTTTTGGTTGGCCATCACATCTTCAGTATGGAGCCGACGAAGGTGGTTATCGATGAAAATTTTGCAGTAGGCTGTTGGAAATCCTTTTCGTGACGTGTGCGGATTGCGATTTTCTCAGCCATATAGAAGTGACTACCTTAACATTGCTGCTGAAAAGCTGAATGTTGTTGTTTATGCCGGCTGAGTCAGTGTAGAAGATGTCCAGATTGATCTCAGAGGAGATGAAGGTCCGCCTTACCTATCGAATTCTGCCTGGCTTTGACATCTTCATCCGTCCCGTATACCTGTGGTCGAAACGACACTTCCTAGATAAGTGAAGGAAGTAACGTCTGTCAAATCTCTCCCGTTGATGGTGATTTCTGCTGGTTGTTGTCATCACTGTTTCTGTTGGTTGGTTACCTTCATCACTTCCGTCTTCTCTATGTTCACCTGGAGTTCTGTCTTCTCTACCTGTCAGCTTCTTCGACCAGTTTATTGGTTTTCGCCTGTAAGTTTTCGGGTTTGTGTTACACTAGACATAAGTCATCCGCACGCGAAATCAAGATTTGCTCGAGTCTTCTTATCGGTGGTCCAGTGTATTCTTGTCTCTTCACTCCCTAAGCACAGGTTCACGCATAATCCAGTCCACCACAATTAAGAATATAATCCGTGGTGATAATAGGCAGGCAGTCAGTCAGCTTGTCTTACTCCTATATCCACTTTGAACGCCTTATGGAGTTTTCCGTTGTGATGTAGCTGTTGAATTAGGCTGATAAAGATTTGAGGTACTTCACGCCACAGTATTGAAGTAGTTTCCAAATTATTTCGAGGTCAACGCTGTCTGTTGAGGGCCTTTTTAGATTCGATGAAGTAGAAGTAGGGGTCTTACTGGTAGTCTATGGCTTGTGCGATTATGTTACCTTATCATCAACTAGAGGAGAACAGAGTGCACACATACACACACATAAGTAAAAAATAAAATTAAAAACAGTATGCCCCCCCCCCCGCCAAAAACAAGGAGAACAAATCCCACCTGATTAAACAAACTTACAATGATTTATTTTCTCCATTGAACCATCATCATTATTCTCTTGTATATCACTAATCAAACTGTCATTATTACCATTATTATTACCATTACTATTACTATTATTGTCCATTAAATTGTCATCAGCTTGTTCAATTAACTTTGACATTACATCTAACAATTGTAAACCAAGTTTGAACATTGAATCACGTAACTCCATTGACACTTCATTGACATTCTCCTGCTGCTGTTGGTGGTCGTCATTATTCATATAAAAATAAGTAATATCCCAATCGGATACAGAAGATTTTAAATCTTCACTTGGTAATATATGACAGGTATCATTTAGCGTATCGATTAGACTTTTTAATCCATGCCAAGGGATAATATCATTCCCAATAACCGTTGTGTTATTCTTATCCGCAGGAATTTCTTGTTTACGAGGAGCTAAAGCATCAGCCAGTCCATTTGTAATATGATTCATTAAAATTGTCAACGATGTAAATTCATTTTGTTGTTCAGCATAACTTTTTCCTGAAATATTATTCTGTTTGACAGCGGTTGTCATCGTGGCAGCATTCTCGTCGAGGTTAGTACAATGATTCTGTAGTAGAATCTTTAAACGTTCACAAGTTTCACCTAATTCTTGCATAATTGGATATAAAAATGTTTTAATAAGTTGTTGACCTAACGATTTAGTCATTATTGTGGGTATAAACCAAAAACTATACTGACGTCGTTTATTATTACTCCCCTTATTATTGTAACAGTAGTTGACGATTGATTTCAGATGGACAAATGGTGTCCACCATGAGGATTGTGCATAGGCTTCATCACGATGGTGACTATTCAGCTTGGTTACATCATTTTTATCAGTTTCACCTTCATCATCATCTTTAACACCGACATTATTTCCCAGTAGATTAAATCGTCGAAAATCAATACTATAACAGATTAAACGATGCATTAACATGCCTAGAAAACCTCCACAGGCTTCAGCTAATGCAGGACATGCACTTGTCATTGTACTTTTACCATCATCACCATTATTATTGTTATTAAAATCAATAGATGAGGCTATGGCATCATCAACACCACCAGGGAATAATTCCTTCCACTGAGGTTTAACACAACATCCAGTTGACAGGTAGAGAAGTTTACCAAGGATTATGAGAAGCGGTTGAATAAACTCCGCATAGATTTCTGGATCAACTAAGCTTTCAGCTGGTAAAGCACATATATAACCTGGTAGAATGTATAACAGGGCGAGTAATCGAGGCTCTGGTCGATAATGATGAATAAATGAGTTATCTAAAAAGGAAGAAGAAAAAAAAACGGGAAGGTCAGTGTCTTAGGTGAAATCAGTGATAGGTTCAGGATGTTTGCGATATGGAAAATTTGACAATATATGAATTAAGAAATTTAATTCAATCGATAAATGTAGGATAACATACGCGTCCGGGGGAAAACCACAGCTATGGATCATCATTGAACAGAGCTTGGAATGCCAGTCAACAACTCTCTACCTCAACTTCATTGATTTTGAAAAGACCTACGAAAAAGTCTGTTGAGTGATGATTTGGAAACTACTTTGCTACTACCGAGTGCCGCCATAATTATACACCTCATCCAACAGTTGCGTGCCAAGTGATCCACAATGGGAAACCCAAGGAAAAGTTCGAAGAAGTGAAGACAGGAGTAAGACAAGCTGGCTGTTTACTATGTCCAATGATTATCCTGATTGCGGTTGACTGGATAATGCGACAGACACACAGCGGGCAGCCAGGAAACAGGCATAAAATGGTCCCACGCAAAAAGAGACTTGGAGGATCTGGACTTCACCGATTACATTTGTCTGATTTCCCACAAACTGGAAGATATGCAAGTGAAAAGCAATAAATTGGCAGAACTACCATCCAGAGAAGACAGGCCTTCAGGTGAACATAGAGAAGACAGAGGTGATAAAGATTCCTGGCCAACAGCGACAACAACAGACAACAGTCAGCATAAATGGGCGAAATCTGAAAGAAGCAACCTCCTTTATCTACCTAACTACCTACCTACATGGGAAGCATAATGTCAACTATAGGCGGACCGAATTCATGAGGATATCATAGCAAGGATCGGGAAAGCAAGGCAAGCTTTCATCTCTCTCAAGTCTGTCTGGAGGTCAACAGCACTCAGCATGAAAATGAAAATAAGACCTGTATTTGCCACCCCAATGTGAAGTCATTACTACTAAACGGGTCAGAGACTTGGCCAGTGTGTCACGAAAGGCACTTCAAACAAAATATACACCTTCATCAATAGTTGTCTTCGCTCAATACTTAAGATAAGATGGCCGGCCAGAAAAAAGATCAGCAATAGTGAGGGATTTCTGGGAACAAACCAACCCAGTAGAACCGATTGTGCAACAAATCTGCACGAAGAAATGAAGTTAGATGGATTGGCCATACTCTGAGAAAACAAACCATCATCAACTGACATCACACCTCAGGCCATTGAAAGGAAACAATAATAATAATAATAATAAATACAATGAAGATATATGGCTCTGATCCACCAAGGGAAAGGGCTCTCGAGTTGGTTAAGCTACAGAATGATACAGCATGCTGGTCTCGTCTAGCAAGAGGCAGGGGATAGGTGTGTTCAGTCCTCCTGAAAACCAATATCCAGTCAATGGAGATATTATGGCTCACTGGTTTCAGCACTCAAGTTCTAGGCAAACAGGTCCCGAATTCGAGTCCCATCTCATTCTACTTATTTATCTTTTATTTTTATTTATTTTTTATTTTTGATTACAGCTTGATTCCACCCTGTATTTTTTGTACAAGTATGGAGTTTTCAGCGTGGATATCGGTAGCCCAAAATTCGCAGGCCGACCATAGATATCAGGTGTGCGTCGGCGTGGGCTCGAACCCCGGACCACCTAGGTAGTATTATTAGCTGTCATACAATAAGTAGGATTAAAATTAATCTGTTTCCGGGTAGTGTAAATCCAACTTATTAACTACCTAACGTCAAAGATTTAAAAAAGGTTTAAAATCACACTATAACCACTATAAAAATTAGGTCAATTCCGTTAAAATGAATATATGAACATGAGAATAATGATTGAAAACGATTAACAGCTTAAACTAAATGGCATAAAACATGCTGACACATAAAATGTATAAACTCCTAATAGAATTCTTAAACTGATTTAAAAATCTTTAGAATATATCTTCCAACAGGTGTTAAACATAGACTTGAACAATAAAACTCATGTTATGATTTTTGTCGGGATCTGCTTCCTTATTCAGCAGGAGGCATATCTGTTCTCGGTATAAATATCGCAAACTGATTCGATTTATATTCAAGTGTTGTTGGTGTGCAAGGATTTGATCTGATTCGTTACATGATCTCATCATGAGCTGGCATCAGTTAAAGAACCATTGGAAAACCGCCAAGGAGTGCTGGACAGCTATTTCGGTAGTCCTAGTTTTCAACTATTCATCAGTACGCATTCACAACCTTCCGGCTACAAGGCGGAACCCAAAAAATCCTGGACTCGAACCTCCGTGGGTGCGTATCGCTGAAGAGTCCTGAACTAGGACTGCAAAAACAGCTGTCGAGTACTCCCTGGCTGGTTTTCCAATGGTTCTGTAACCGATATCAGCTCATCATACAATCTTCATTTGATTTATTGTGGAACATATTCCCCGTTTCTTACAAAATTTACAAGGACTGATGAGTCCTTTCTAGGCAACATTTAGGAATTAAAATAAAAATGTGACTCAATAAGCACTTGAACAACCCCGTATAGCTGACAATGAACCAAATCTATTTTGTGAAGACTACTCATACTATCCAGATGCCTATAAACCTAAGTAGGGTGGAGTGAGATTCGAACACTTGACAGTGTGATTAGAAGTCAAGCGCTTAGATCATTGGACCACAGCTCCACTGATATATATTCATTTTTTGCATTTATAAACTAAACTGATTTATGAACGCAACGCTTTGCTCAAAGTTCAGCGGTCTAGTTTACCACAACATTATAAGATAGAGAAACCGAATACAATGAACCCACAGTGAATAACAACGATGTATGCAAAAATGGAATAGTTAAATAAACAATCTCAAAATCTGTATGATGACACGGAGTGAATACAACTGTAACAACGAGAATGATTTTTGAATTATTTGTCATCAATAGCCAATAACCAATGAATTGCTAGCATCTCTGAAGGATTCCAGTCAAATTGTTCACACTTCCCTATTTGACTCAAATTATTAGATAAAGAATTCATGATTTAATTGAATTTTAGATTTTCCCGTCAACTGATTGGACCGAAGTGCTCCTCATTCTCAAGGTTGACATGTCGGCTTCTTGTCTAGATGTTTCGACGATGTCTGGGCATTTAATTAGAATTGAATTGGTGGATGGTGGCTAGCAGTGGAATCCAAAATGCGCAAGAAGCCAACATGTCAATCTGAGACCGAGGAGCACTTCGGTCGAATCAGTCGACGAAAAGATCTAAAATTCAATAAATTAATTAATATGACCCGTTGCACAAGAGGTGGCCGGCTGTTGTGGCCCAAGTGGTCTAGTGGATAACGCTTTGGCGTTTGAAACTATGACCACTGCGTTCCAGCCTCGGTGGGAACATCGTCACTAACTCACTGGGGAATGCAGGTACATCCAGCTGGAGGACGAGTCCCAAGTAGGACGAAATGCGCGTTATCCTGAATTCCACTGCTAGTTACCATCCACCAGTTCGAAGAATCCATGAGTTGATAACATGTCTTTGTCTGATTACTTTTGGCTCTTCACTAATCCAATTATAAAGACAGAGAATAAAGTGGTTGTTAAGGGTGTGTTGACCACTTCACTTATGTGCGAAGTTGCATCCAACTGCCTAGCGGGTTGGTTCGCTGACAAAATCTCAGCTCGGATACAGAAGGCTCGTTTGGCATTTGCCTGTCAGCTAACGCCATCTCTGGCTTAGTTATTAGACACGATATTCGGCTGGCTATCGAACAAAACACTAAAAATACCTGCTGAAAGGTGGTGGTAGCTTTAGGAGATTTTACATAGCAATCTGACGTAAATATTCACCCTTTAAATGTGACCTTTCCATTTTGTTTTAATGCATGAAAATAAATAACTTTTTAAAAAAAACAGTTATTAAAATCGAAAATTTATGCATAAAACAAAATGTGATCACACCTAGTGACAGAATCACATGCAGAGAGAGAGAGAGGGAAAGGACAACTGAAATCAAGTAGGCACATATAATGTGTATAACCTAGTTAGTGATGATATAAACATTGGTAAACAAAAATATTGCATACTATGATATAATCACACCCAATTATTTATGTCCCAAATGTTTATCAAATGTGTTGGTTGATGAGGAGTTGATCTGCTTGGTTATAGGATTGATCGCAAGCTGAAATCAGTTAGAGAACCGCTGGAAAATTAGTCGTGGAGTGTAGTATTGGACAGATGTGTCTCTAGTCCTAGTTTGGGCCATTTAGCCTCTGTTACTTAACCCAGTGGTACAAGAATCCCAACTACCGCTAATTCGTGATATGCGTATTTAGCACAACCCCCAGACAATGCCACAGGCGAGTAACCGTCCTGTTGCGTGATTTAGTGGACTCCGGTGGTTACAATTACTCACTAGAACTCCAGGTAGTTCCTGTATAGGGCCAGTGAGCATCACGTGTCCCAATGGTTAACTAACTGATGTCAGCTTATGATCCTGAGACTAAACAATATTATTATTGTTGTTTCCTTTAATTCCTAGAGGAACATAGGGCTTCAGCCACGTGTTTCCATTGCGTTCGGTCCGCCACCAACATTTTCACCTGGCTCCAAGTCTGCCCACATGCTTTCACCTCCTCCTCCATGTCACCCTCGTACTGACAACCAACTAACTCGCCGCTTCCCGTTCGATTTCCACTTGAGTGATGGCCTATCGTGATGTGATGTCACTCACTTGATGGTTTGTTTTCTCAGAGTATGGCCAATCCACCTCCATTTCTTCCTATAAATATGCTGCACAATCGGTTTCTCGCTGCGTTGGTTCGCTTAGTGCCAGAGACCCCTGTTGCTGATCTCATCTGATCTTGAGTAGTATTAAGCAAAGACAGCTATTGATGGAGATGTGTATTTTGTTCGAAGTGCCCTTCGTGACACGGCGCCGAGTCTCTTATCCATAAAGTACCACTGACTTCACACTGGAGTTGGAGAGGACTCGAATAAAGCTCCTTTTATTGTTTATGGAGACTAAACAATAAATGGAACTGAATTCGAATCCCCT